AAAACTTGCTTGGCGTGAGACGGCCACTCTCTCTATGACCTGATTAAGTAGCAGTTATTTATTTCTTATTTAAAACTATTCAGCAACAGCCTTTAATAGTCCACTGCTCCACTCCATTAAACTATTACAACGTCCAAAATACTAAAGTACGGTAATAGTTGCAGTAGTAGAAACTGTGTTGCAACTCTCTGAATATGTGTGAGCATAACATTGCAATATTCGTTTGTTACAATACATTTCAAAGTAAAAAAAGAGAAAAATTGAAAATTAGATCAACTAAAATAAGTGAAATGTCTGTAAACAGTAGTGAAACTTCTAAACAAAAAATAAATTATAAAAAAGGATAATAATAATAGGACATTTGGTCAATTATAACGACCAGATATTTTATATTATTTGTGCGGGTAAGAATCGTAAAGTTACAATTTGCATTGCCAGTATCTCCGCAGGTATGACCACGAATAGAAAAATATTCTGGGTTCGAAGAAAAAATGTAACATACATGGATTCCCCTGTAAGGAACCTAGGAACCTGTAAGTTACTGCACTCAAAAACTTCTGTGGTTATTTATCCCAAGCGCTATTAAGAACCAGGAGCACTGTGTCATCCGCGTAGGTAACCACCCTACAATTATTAATGTTAAATAGGCAGAGTTTATTTACATAAACAAGGAATAGCGTCTGCCCAAGGATACTGCCTTGAGAGACGCCATAATCCAACGCAACTTCATCACTAACACCGTCATTAATGATGACATTGTGTGCGGTTGCTGATAGCTTTTAAATAAATTTAAGACCAAACCGCGCACCCCTATATCCTCCAATTTCTGTAGAAGTTTGGAAATAGAAACAGTGACACAAACTTGACAGTTCATGTTAATTTTTGCTAAACCGTATTTGTAGCGTCCAAAACGGCATCCTCCGCAGACCTAACGCGTATAAACTATCAGCATAAGGCTGTAACTTGTGGCAATGTCTGTCTAATGTACCCTCCGCTGTTCGAGTCAACTACTATATTCTGTATTCATACGACATAAAGAGATAGTTAGGACAGGGAAGTTTAGTGTAGGGATATATATGGTTTTATTTAAAGTCAGATATCGCTTTTACATTTTTATTAGAAAAACAATATTATAATATACCAATAAGTCTACAGTAAACCTTAGAAGCTATGACTGAAATTCTGGACTTGTGACATTGCACTAGCTCCCTTTTGTAGAACACTTTACGGTACAGTTTCGTTTACACATTATCTACGGCATTTAATACATTCCTTTTGTCTCTTACTTATAAGGTCTATTTGGGTTTGATTCTGAAAGAGGTTCGTTAATCACAAAAATACATAAAAATATATGGCGTTCTTAACTTTCTCATAAATGCGTAAGATATACTCTTCATCAAACTCTCTCGAGTTCAATATAATAAAACAATAATACTATTTATGTGTGAATAATTCTCAATATCATAGCTTGAAATGGCTCGTGCCAAATGTATTACAATTTATGAAAAAAAGAATATTTTTTTACGTTAAGTAAACAAACCCTTAGGACATATGCTGATCAGTTACATTATGCACTTAAAGTAGAACAATTAAATAGATAGATAGATAGATAGATAGATAGAACTCTTTATTAGATCATAAAATAATATACCATTAGGCACGTCTAAAAGCATATAATTAATATGGCATATAATAAAGTGCAACTGCGTTCGATGTAAAATAAACGTATGAATAGTTCAAAATCAAAAACGAAACTATTTCCCGTACCGTGATGTATATTATCAGGCTTTAATTTCGTCGCCTTTAAAGTCAGTTTATAATTGACAATGCACGAGTAGTAGTTCAGACTTCATCCAAACTTTAATCAAAATGATTGCAGTTGCTCTTGAGCGTAAATTATTTTTTACAGTAGAAGCTGTGTACCTGGTCTTACAAAATGTAACCGTGTGTTACATTTAGTTTTGGAAGAGCAACTACAATGATATTAAAAGCATCTGTTCTAACAGCTGGTTTATGCTTACTAAAATGCATTTGAATTTTAACTATTCGTAAGTAGCATGAAAAAGTTTAGTATAAGGTTGTGTCCTAACTACACGGGCATGCTACTATTTTTACAGATACATATATAAAACTTGTAATCACACACAAATTTCCCAACAAAGGTCACAGTAGAATTGACATTATTCAGTGTATATGTTTATAAAAGTTTCTTATATATTGTTATTAACAAGTTCCTTATAATCCACTTATGTATAGTGAAACATTTAGCCAAATTCGATACGGCATGTTTATAAACAAACCATTGATTAGCAACCGATGACAAGCAGATACAAGCATATACCCGATTGACTTCAAATTTAGCGATATAGATGTTCACTAAGAACGGACTTTAAGGAAATTCTACCTAAAATGTAATTTTTATCATGGTTGATGACTGACTGGATGGTTGATGACTGATGATGATGGGAAAACTCAAATGGTAACGCACACGTGAATCCTGAGTTGCAAGTGTCCATGTGCGGCGGAAATTTTAAAGAGTAGTACTAACTTATAAAAATTTGTGTTATGTACTACTATATATTTTTTAATTCTTTTAACGTCTCTTAACGGCTCGTATTTGTTATTAAGATTTATATGGCAAAAAATCCTAATATATAACTTGGAAATAGACACAAATTTAAAGTTTTTTTCAGTTTTGCATAACTCCAAGCTTCTTACTCCGAACCTTTTGCCCCAACTAGGTTGGGGTTGGCTTTAAATCTACAACGATACGACTGAACTTCCGATTTTTTTACGTGGAACGACTGTTATCAGACCCCGACAACCCAAGTACTAGGAGATATCGAAGTTCTATAGATATACAGTACTGTTGTGGGACTTTTCAGGGCTCCAAGTGCCCGTAACGATTGGTGCAGTTCGTACTGCAACCGGGACCAACGGCTCTAGCATCAATATGTTAAGAATGGTTACCCATCCATAGACCTGCTGGATCTTGCTCGGTTAACACTTAACCACGAACCCGTCAAGAAGAACTCGTAAACATGATGAAATATAATTTGTTTATAAAAATTCCGTATCCAATTTGGCTCAAACATTTATCAAATATTCTAGTTAGTTTTATAAATATCTCAAAGCTGGAATGATAAAATGTTGTATCAAAAATTGCTTATTCAATTATATAATTACTTTCTCCCTTTTTTCTTTTAATAATTGTCTTTTCTTTAATCTTATTTTACATGGCAGGTATATGAGCGTTATAATTTTAATACATATACACTTAATGGCTATTAAAACATACAGTTTTCATTAAATATATAATCACACCACTTTTCAAATAGGGGTGTTCACTTTTTACCTACATATCACTTACAGTACATTCCTACTACCCACTTCTAAATATTATAAACTCAAATCATAGTAAGTGCTTACTTAACTAAATAAACTATAAAAAGTACACACAAATGAAATAATAAACTATTTAAATGTTACTAAAATAGAAATAATTATTTTGAGCAAATAATAACAATAAAGAATTATAAGTACAATAATTTGACTTAAAATAAATACAATTATTTCAGCCGCAGGTATTTATTTATAAATAAAATCTGTAACTTTATAGAAACTTTATTCATTCAAAAATAATAAAAAAACTGAACAGAAAAGGCACCGACATATTTAATCAAATACAATTCATACGTATAAAAATATTTAAAAAGAACCAAGACAATCAAAAACGTAGTTATATCTTCTAGAATATGTAGAGGAGCGAAGGCGTCAAGACCTACGCAAATGTAGTTTCGAAATATAAACTTAATGATGTTTTAAATTTTAGTCAGTCTTACTAAATGCTTAACAGTATGTAAATGTTTAAAGCCAAATAAAAGATCTTATTATGTCGTGTCTAATTTTTCTTTTTTAAAGACATTCATAAATGTTTTACTAACAATACAAAATGAACTTCCTCACTAATAGTAGGGGAGCCCTAGAAGGGATTTCGGGATTTACTCGAGCGTGGCAGATTAACATAGATCGAATACCTTACACTCAGTTGAGTACCTCCACTATACATGATCCCACCTATAGGGGCGATCGTCTATGCCCTAGACGCCTATCAGAGATGGACAGAAATATTCGAGCGTGTAAGATTACGGTAAGTTGAGTCAATTACATACACATTAGTGTGAATTTAAAAAAATCAGATGATTTGAGCGTGACATAAAGCAGTAAGAGGGTCACAAAGTTGATTTGTACACATGACCTTCACAATTTTTTTTTAATGTTGTAGCAAACAGTGAAAGGAACCTTTTTGAATGTCTACATCATTTTTCGTGCCTTTATTTGTCACATTTTATAAAAAAGCAAAAATTCAAAATGTTTCAAAGCGTCAGATTTAAAATACCCCGCAAAATCATCGTCAGATTTTTGGCTAATATGACAGGAACATCAAGCTGAACCGTCTGTATAAAATATAACACGGTCGTGTATTTCGTAATAGCGATTTTTCGAATTTGCAATTTGCATTTTCGATACTTCGCTACCAGCTTGTGTCACTTTAAAATAATCAGACCTTTAAATAGAAGCATTTTTGCCATAACATATCCCCAAAATATCTGAATATCAGAATCCAATACGAGACATTCACTACGAGGAATCCAATACGAGGCATATTCACTTGTACTCTTAGAAACATGAATTTCTAGCAACGTATTATAACTACGACACTAAACACTAAATGCTCTGAAGATTAATATATTTTGTTAAGATTTTTTTTACATCTCACATGTAACGAAAGCAGTTATAAACGCATTATATAATAATACATAAAGAAGCTCTAGTTACGACAAAGGATTTTTTTCAAAAATAGAATAGCAGTCACAATTTAAAAGCTACATTTTTAAGCCAGCAACATGGAAATTGACCATATGTTTTTAAGAATAGATAGGAAATATTTTAAAAATAAAAATCGAAAAGAATTAAACAATGTTTCTAGGTTATCTTCTTTACTCTAAGCTCGGGGCTAAGAACAACGGGTTTGGAGCCATGTTTAAGTTTGCGGATTGGAATGACCTTTTTATACTTACATGTGGATATTGCTCACGCCATTCTAGTACCTGCCAGCGAACAAGTGTCATTTGTGTAATATTAATTTTATAATTAATAATATTTGTAAAAATTTACATAATTAGTAGAGGAATTTCACTTTTTATTACTAAATATTACTTGTATATTATATGTACATATATTGTTCACGAAATACATAATTGCTTTATTTTTATAATATTATTTGCAATAAGATTTTGTAATATAAAAAAGGCGGCGGCGTATATAATTACAAACATTGTTCTGAGTAAAAATTTCAGGAGTAACTGCTATTTTTGTAAGACTACGTTTATTCATGTTGCATCATGCACTAATCAAGTCTTATCACTGATATAAGGTGCTTGAAAAGAGGTAAGTGACAGCATTAAAACCCACTCTCTATAATGCTCGTTGTAAAATGATCCACGTCATCATAACTCTCAAAGTTATAAGTCAGAAATATATTTTTCTTATCATACCTGAGATTCCTGAATCTGATCGCAAAAACTGACATCCAGTAGTCGAAGCTCTCTGCATTCTGCTAAGATCCTGTCAAAAACATGAAGTCAAAATATAAAATAAATGATTTAAGTAATCATTTATTTTATATTTTCTTATAAAATAAACGTATGCAGAAAGCCAAGCAATTGAAATAATTTCTTGATCATATACACATCATCTATGTGGTGTGTGGTGTGGTCACATATCCGTGTGGTGATGGATTAAGAATACGGAGTGTCACCACCCCTATTCATCTCTTGGGTGCCGTAAGAGCCGACTAAATAAGCAAACTGTGCAGAACAGCACTGTAAAGAGAAGGAAAACTTAAAACAAACCCTAATTCAACCCGTCTGGCCAGCGTGGTATAGTAGGCCAAAACCTCCTTAAGCAGAGGCCTATGTCCAGCAGTGGACAACTAAAGGTTGTTGATGTGATGTGATACACATCAGCATCATTATCATCAACCCATTGCCGTCCAAACGAAGGCCTCCCCCAAGGAGAGCCAAAGATCTCGGTCTTAAGAAGTCTGTATCCATCCGCTGCCAGCTTCCTATCTATATACACATATGATATAACAAATATTAATAAGAAATTTCTGTACTAACGAGTCACAAATATCAGGTGTAACCGCCCTGACGCCGAGTAAATCAAGTTGAGCTAACTTGGGGGCCCGAGGTAGAAGAGCTCGCAAGTCCCGATCACCAACGCCTCGGAGTGCTCCAAGGAAAAGCTTTCGAAGTTCGTAACCAGCTAACCAAGCCAGCCACTCGCCAGACGTGCCAGCTTGTAAACTAAAATCAATTTCGAAATTCAATCAAAGGTTTCACTTTTCAATAATTAATTGCCTACATCTTTTTCTCTTCTTATACTATTTGGGTAAGAAAATACTGTGTTGCCAAATAGAGCTTTGCAACAGTCAGTTGGTCTAATGCCGGACATTGCATGTACTCGTATACTATGTTTTTACATTTTGAACACCATCTCTATTTTCGTTGAGTTAAAATAAAATCCCGTATTAAACAGATTCAATGAGTCCATTGTATGCTGTGAGGAACGCATTAGTGCTTAGGGTTTGAGCTAATTAGTACAGAACAAAAAAAAATAAACTACTCATTTTTGAGTTAGTTGGTCAATGTAATCTTTCCAAATAAATTTTGAATCTATGTTCAAACCAAGTAATCGAGCATTATCAGTTTCGTTTATGATAGTTAACGTAATATTTGGTCGGCGTTTATATCTCTGATTGAAATGTATTACGCTCGTCTTCTGAAGATTTATTTTCAGATTGTTATTAAGCCATGCTGTTACGGATGCTAAGGAGTTATTAATTTCAGATTCATAATTATTGAAATCCTTAACGTCAAATAACGTCATTGGATAGACGGTTGAACTATGAAGATTGTTGATATATATTATAAATAAAAGGGGGCCTAGCACACTCCCCTGGGGGACACCGTAAGTTACACAACGTTTGCCTGAGGAATATCTCTTCATTTTTTGTTTTATCTCAGTAACTTGTTTCCTATTTACACAGTACGATCGAATTAGTTGCAAAATATTACCTCTTATACCATATAATAATTCCAGCTTGTTAATTAAAATCCTATGGTCTACGCAATCAAATGCCGAAGGCATGTAACAAAAAATGGTACACACTGGAGATGTTTTAGCTATGCAAGACATAACGGTATAAAAAGTCATATTAGTATTTTTGGGGATTAATAAAGTCGGCAAATAATATAGTTCTTGTAGTTTTGATCGTGTTTCTACAGGCTGGATGTACGATCCTAGTAGTCACTTTAAAAAAAACTAGCTGAAATCTGTATTTTTATCAATAACGTTACGAAACTAGATATAAACTATCGTATATACTTACCACCAGCCAACATCAAGCTCTTGTAATTTTTTACAGTTGCCAAGCGCCCTGATTCCATTTGGTGTCAAAGAATACGACTTCCAAAAATCCACCGATACGAGGTGCGGACAATTTGCCCCCAAAGCAATTGCCACTTCATCCATTGAAGATATCATCTTGCATGACCCTATTGATAATAAAATACAAAGGTTAAAACAGAACTAAAGCAACCAAATACATTATGTATTATTATTCCGCAAATAGCTAAAAAAAACATTTTAAATCGGTGCATTCGTTTAGGAGCTACGGTCCCACAATCACATGCAGACAGCTAGATACGGGGGTCAAACTTATACTACAAACCGCTGACGCTTTAAACATATTCTTGATATATAGATAATACCTTACTACTTACTCGTACACAGGGTTTTATAGACATTATAAAGTTATTAAACGAACAACAGATGTAATATACAAGGGGCGGCCTTATCGCTTAGAGCAATTTCTTCCAGGCAACCTTTGGATGGACTGGATTTATTTTGAACTGGTGATAGGTATATAGAAGTTCGAGTAATAAATAAGGTCTTAACCTATAAAATATTTATTATAAATAAATTCTACTAATCTATATTTACACATTAATACTAACCATATATACAGTAATATATACATACACTAATTTTCAACTATGAGAGACAGATAACGCTCATACAGCATAGTTTTGAATGTGGTTACGGATTGCACACGTCTTATAGAAACCGGCAAGGCATTCCATAAACGTACAGCTTCTACGAAAAAATATTTTCAGTAAAAATTGGTAGAATGACTTGGTATTTCCAAGCGCAGGTTTTCAGAGGACCTTAGGTATTTCAAATGTGTGTCATGAAGGAACTTAAAGCGTTCTTTAGGGTAAACAGGAGTTAATGGAAGCTACTTGAGCTTTTTGCGGTAGTGGGAAACATGCATATTTGCGAAGTCAAAATATGAATAGTATGCAAAAATATTGGACGCTCAAGTTTATTTAACTGTACTTTGGTGAGATCGAGAAAGCTGACGTCGGCATAGTCAAGAATCGGAAGAAGCAGCGTTTATGCAAGTGCGGTTTTATTAGCAGTTGGAAGAAAGTTTCGTAACCCTCGCAAAGATCCCGCTGCAGCAAACACATTGCGGCTCTATCTGCGGTGCTATCGATTATAACTCCCAAGTTTTTGACTTTGCTGCTGATCGGTATTATGGTAACGGTGGCAAATGTGACCAATTAATTTTAGCAGACATTATGGGACGCACAATTATGCATACCTGTGATTTTGTGGGATTAATTTTGAGTCCATAGTTGTTACTCCAAGTACTTATGTGCTCTAGATCTGAATTAATAATATTAAGCGCAATCAAATTATTAGTAATATTAGTAGGCCAAAACCTTCTTTCTCAGGAGAGGCCTATGTCCAGCAGTGGACTATTAAAGGCTGTTGATGTGATGATGTGATGAAGCGCAATCGATAACATACTGACAGGTGCATGGGTATACATCTGTAAATTATCAGCATAGAGGTGGTATGATAAAAGTAAATGATTAGAAAAAGAATTAATAAAAATTGCAAAGAGTATGGAGATAGAATGCCACCCTGAGGGACACCGATAGTAGCATTACGCTTATTTATAATAATGTTAATATAAAACTTTAAAACAGGTTGCATAACAGATTATTTATCAGTTTGTAAAAAATAATATATTTTTTACTGAAACATGTTATAATAAATCTACGGCACATTATAAAACGCTATTTAGACCCAAACTACACATAACTATAGTTAAACCGCCGTAAGCTTGGCCCTCCTGATGGTTTGGGGGACGCGGGGCGGGCGTGCATTCAACCAATTAGCTAGTGCGTCGCTGTCCGCCGGCAGTGACTGACGTGAAAGCATGGCTGTACGTGTTATTTTTCTTAAGACTGCTACACACGGTATTATTTTAACAATTTTTTATTTGAATAAAAAAACAAGCAAAGATAACATTCAGTGCAATGTAAAAATGGACAACCACGCATAATATATTTAAACTAAACACCCGCTAGAACTAACCAATAATCAAAATGATTTCACATCATCACATTTATTGCAAGTAAACAATAGGTTAGAGTATTACTGAATTGTAAGGGGTAGAAGTCAGTGATCAATTCTGACATAGAAGACAAATGCACTACAACCGCACTATATAATTCCTGATGGATTCTCGACTTTAATATTTCCTGACTGTTGACAGTCATACTAAATAAATAAAAGCATATTGAAAATGGTTAATGCGTACCAACATTGAGGTGGCGTAGTCCAGGGTTGGATCTGACAATCGCCACAGCTGCTGGAGTGGTTATATCAGTTCTATAAAGATCCAGTCTTTTTAACTTCCTGAGAGAAGACAGGCATACCCAGTCTGAACAGCCGACCACGGATCGTAGACATAGTTCTGAAAAAGAAAACATAGAATACGCTTTATTGTACAGCATTTATAATATGATAGATGAATATTACAGACGGATATGTCCAATGGGCGGCTTTATTGCTTCTTACAGGCAACTTTAAGATGGATAAATCGACAAAAGATAAGAAAAAACAAGTAACTAAAATATTAGGAAAGTAAAGCAGCTACCAAAGCTGTTAATTTTTCTATTACCATTAGGTTCTCCAGATCTTTATTTATATTTGGTCAAAGAAAGTAACTACAAACTCACAATTAATGAATCGTTTTTTTTAACTTTAAAGTGTAATTAATGTATTAACGTTTTAACATAATGTTGTTACTTGTTTGTTCTTTTCTTAGTAACGGCTTAAAGATTTTTTTTGCACACTATATTCGTGTGCAACAAATTTTTTTTTTGTTGATTGTCATATCGGCGTGTTTTGATTCATGTAGTAGATATTTAACGTAGTGTAGAACGCCCACAGGCCAGGTGGAGTAACGATTTGCGCAAGATGGCTGGCAGGAGCTGGATGCGAGAAGCCCAAAATCGAACTAAGTGGCGTGCAAATTAAAAGTGAGAGCTTAATTTATTATTTCTATAAATGTAATTGCTTAGTTGGCATTAATATACTAATGTTCTGGGCATGACTGTCATATGTCTAGTAGTTGACTTTTGCATTAAAATTGAATAACATAGCTAAACATAGAAGAATACCTTGTAAGCATGTCGAGGTGTCAACAATAGCTCTTAGCACTGAATTGTCAACAAATTTGCAGCAATTCATACGCAGATGTGTTAATTCGGCCCCGCTGTCTTTCAGGAAACTGTAAATTAAAATGTTACGTAACCAATCGTCTCGAATTACATTTTTTACAATATTTGTTGTATTACATAGGTAAGTTTAAAATTCGCGTTAGTGTAGTTCACGTTAACGTACAACATGTATGACAATTGGAAACTAATAATAAATATAGGAAAGTATATATAGATAGAAGATAAATAGGCAAGTAAATATTGCAGTTAGTGAAATAGAGCTAATTACCTTAAATAGGTAGGGAAATAGAATTCATAATTTTATAACTATATGACTTGACACACCTGCTACGTGGCCATTTGATGCTAAGCAGAGCCTTTCTAAGGTATTCAAGCCTATGATAAACATACTTATAAGTGTAAATTACTAAATACACATTTATATTAAACATTAGTTACACTCAGACACACTTAATTATTTGTCTTGGGTGGAAATCAAATCCATAACCTTGGCTCTGCAGTCAGGTTGAAGAACCACTTGACGGACTTTGCGAGACATCCGCAACCCATGTGATGAAATAGACTTAGTTTTAGACTGTAGATACAACTTAGTCAAAAAATGTGGACTTGTGTATGACATATTGGCATGGTTAGTAGACAATCGTCATCAGAATTTTTAAAATATTTCTTTGAAACTCTATTTTTAAAATCAATATCGTAAAAGAAAATCAATGTGTTAATAAGTTGCTGATTTCTCTTAAAATTGCATTTCAATAGATTTTATATAACTAGAATTAAGTGTATATACATATATTTACTAGTGAAATAAAGATATAATATATATATATATATATATATATATATATATATATATATATATATATATATATATATATATATATAGATATAAAGATAATACTGTATTAATATGTGGCTACATTGACTTACGTTTAAGGGATATGCTCGTATTACAAAACTTATTTATTAGAATTTAAATTCATTTTGAAATATTTAAAACAAGTCAAACTGGCTGAAAAATGTGATTACTGCCTGAAAAATTTGTAGTAGTGTTTGTCTTGAAGCGACGCAGTATTCACGTGCGACATAGTTATGTAAACACAATGAATATGAAATCACGCAAGTTATAAGAATAGGCATTGTCAATAATAACAATTGTAACTCACTTGACCACATAATTGGCCTGTATCATGCGATGGCTGCCGCACCACGACAGGTCGAGTTTCTGTAGGAATTTGCAACGCATTGACAGCGTTATTAGCACCTGTAATGAAAAAAGAGAGGGTTGGGGTCACAAACAATTTTTATTGGTCACTAGTAGCAGATAGAAGCAGTACTTCACAAACGAGCAAGGAGTCCAACTTTATAAGTCGCACGTGTAATTGATTAATTGTTTATATGATGGCTTTAAGGAATATTTATTGTCGAGTAACGAGCACCAGCGAAAAAAAAGCTAAGACATTTGACGATTCTAAATTAGGAAGCGATATTCCCCATTATCTTAGAGATTTTTTTGCTTTTAGGCTTAATTATAAAACTTATCATCATAAACTCTGAGATAGATGTTTTCAGGGGTACAGTAAAGGATATAAATACCTATTACGAGAGCAAAACTAATGGGGAAAACAAATGATTACATAGATGTTTTCTTACTTAAGAATCGTATTGCAGACTCCGTGACGTAAAGCGCATGCAAGAAAACAAATTTATGTTCAAAAAATTCTATCAACTTTCCACAAAGATTAAAATATTCACCTGTGACTGCACACAATGCCAATAAGGTCTGAGATCTATACTCCGATACAAGATAGAGTCAGAAGCGAGTCTGTTGAAGTGTCTGTTGACTTGAGCACATCGGCATAGAGACTGAATATCCAAAAACTTCATCACGCATAATATTGTTTCATCCTGTAATGAAAAAAATCTTGTTAATACATTTGGTAAAATAACAGGGGAAATAAACAATCTTGATCCTGCAGTCTAGGGCTTGTTCTTGCTTTTGTTGCATCTCCAAAGATTGAAAGCCTTGGGACTAAGTCAATCACAATCAACTGTGACAAATCATATGATTGCATCACAACGTCTACGTCAACGTATACGATTATGATTACGCTAGCGCCAGATTCGCGTAAGGTCTAAATCTAAAAAAAGTGATGGCATTTATCTTCGCCTATGACCAAATCACAGTAGTGATTTTTCACAGGTGAAATCGTGCTGCTTTCCATTACTAGGGCTAACCCTGCAAGATTTGAGCAAAAACAAGATTGTGTATACAAAAACTAAAAGGACTATTTAACAAAGCAGCGTCTTCTTACAAGGTACTATAAAAAATGACTATGTTTCTAAGCATTATTAATGTTTGCGTAGTTGTCATAATATAACATACTACTACTAATATGACATAAGAATTGTATGTTATCTGAAATTCTCGACATGGTTTACACGAGGTAAACATAACTATAAAGTATTAAATGCAACATACACTCATGATAACTATTAATTTCGCGTAGTGATCAATATTGTCACAGATTAGGTTACAAGAATTTCAATAGCCTATTTTGCTGTCACTTAAAACCCGTCCTTATTATTTACAGGTTAAGATAATTTATCCAACATAATAATATCATTGTTTTGTGACTATTTTCATGTAATATTTCATGCTACATAAGTATACCGTGACAATAATTTCACTCATAACGTTACCTACTGTGAAATGAATGTACCTTAATATGTAAGTAACTTAATTCGGCACTTCTTCGTAGGCACTAGACATTTGATTAAAATGGAGGCAATACGGTTTGAGAGAAGTCTTCCTCTGCTGGGATTAGTACACAGACATTAAAAACAATGCAAATGAAAACAATGGGCAATGGCAAATAATTGGCGGGCTTGATGACCCAGTTGTTAGTTATCCTGACCGCTAAGGCTATACTAGGTCGTGAGTTCGATACCCACCCAAAACAAACAATAATGCTGTATAGGTACACATTACACGATTACAATTATATAAACACAATTATGTATACATATACGAGGGTGCGTTTTTAAGTTCGCGGAATGAGAGGGTTGGAGGGGGGTGATTAGGCTCATTAGAATCTTCACGTGTTCAGTGACTCATAATTAGTATAAATACCAGGTTAATAAAATAATGAATGAGAAGTCATTGGTTTACGGCGACTCTTTTCCAGGAAAAACCATGGTGTACAAATGGCACAGTTTATTTAAACAAGGAAGGGAATCCCTTGAAGACGACCCGAGGCCGGGCAGGAGCATCGAGGTGATCACGCCAGAACTTATCCAAAAAGTCGAAAAAATTGTACTCGACGATGCTCGACTAAAGAAAAAACAACTCGCAGAAATGGTTGGAGTATCTGACACAGCCATTTTTAGAATTCTGCACGATCATTTTGGCATGACAAAGGTCAGTGCAAGATGGGTGCCGAGAATGCTCACGCCGACGCAAAAACAACAGCGCGTAGAGTCTTCACGTGCATGTTTAGACCTTTGTAATGAAGACAAGGATGCTGTATTGAGTAGAATTGTTACTCGAGACAAAACTTGGGTTCATCATTATGAACCTGCGCCTGCGCCCGTCCACAAGAGCCGCGTTGCGTTGGCTGCCCTGCATAAGGTGGGCTTCAATATTTTGAATCACCCACCCTACAGCCTAGACCTGGCCCCCAGCGATTATTACCTGTTTCCAAAAATGAAAAAAGAGCTGCGGGGTAAAAAAATTACCAACGATGATGAAGTCAAGGAGGCAGTTTCGGCGTATTTTGAAGACAAAGAGAAAACATTTTTTTATGAGGGTAAAAACAAATTAATTGAAAGATCTGAAAAATGTATCCGTCTTGCAGGTGAATATATTGAAAAGGAAAAATAATTTGGTTATTTTATTTCCACCCCTTATCCCCCATTCCGCGAACATAAAAACGCTCCCTCGTATAATACTGCACGTAGTGGTTTAAGCGGTCGCCACGTCGCTTCCTACTGCGCGACACCACTTCGTGTGATCCACAAATTGTTGTTCCGAGTCTGGGTGTTCTCTGTGTCCGTTTCATGTATGTTTGTAAAGTCCCCCGCTACAGAGGATTATAAATATTGTCCTTAAAAATGTAAGTACATGATTATATTTCACGGAAAGCGAATGTTAAAAGTTAATATTATTTGTGTTCAATTGTGTGTAATTTTTCTATTTTTGTTTCGCTCATCGAGTTGTCACTGATCGTGCACTCCTCTTTTCGGATAAGGCCTATCCTACGTCGACATGGGACCTGATATGATATGGTAACACTGTACATCAAATAATCTGTAGTGAATAAAGTGTGTGGTTTGTGAGCTTCCCGTTCAGTTAAGAGTGTGTTTTATCAGGACCAAGCTTCTACTACAGACTACAGACCAAAAGCACTAACAACAATCGAGCAGGTCAAACCTTGGCAAACTAAATCAAATGTTGTAAAAGTACAAATTTATTTGACTTGGGGAGATAATCAGATGATAAGAGAAATGAAAGCCAAGTCAAACAAGTTCTAGATATAATAACACTACCTCATAGTATAATGTTTTCTAATTTATATGTATTCACATACAGCCATTATGCTATAAAACGATTGTTCCCGCGCGCATGACTCATCGCCTTTGACTTTAAGTACATGCCATTGACACTGTGTGAATTTTTCGCGATAAAAATTCATGCTTTCAAATAAATAAAAACTAAATTAGCTTTATATCCAACGAGATAAAATCATTTAACAAAATCGTTGAGCATAAAAATAAATTACCACGACTTTGCTATTCAAACATAATTATATCTACGAACATTAAACCCAAAAATGAGCAATAACCTTTCGTACTAACAAAATGTGGTGAAGGCGTTATTTAGGGAATTTATAGTTAGAATACAAGATTATAGGACTGCCACAGAAAATAAGGCTGGACTGAGCAAAACAGAATATGGTCACATGATATAAACACCTTGCATCGACCCCAAAACAAAACGCATGGACTCTTTAAAAACCTTAAGAAAGCACAAGTTAATCTTCTTTCTTTCTAATCTAATTAATCTAATTCTAATCTATCTGACCTATCAAGTAGATTTTAAGATTTTGTGATTAGTCAGCAGATGAGCGTGTCGGAAATAAATGAGTGAGTGAATTATAAAAAAGATTAAATTTAACATACAGGTAATTCAAGAGTGGAAGACATTTACGAAGTGGAAGACTATAAAGGTTTCTAAGAGCCCTTTCAAATCATTATAGAGGCCTGAGAATGGTCCAGGGAAAGCCTATAATCCAGGGGAAAACAGAGTAAAATAGTGGTAGACTAGGAGTAAAGTTTTCATATAGTGAAACACCTTGTTTTAAGTTTACAAAAAACTATTTACACTATCAAAAGTCGGCAAGTAGCTGACAAAAAAATTACTAGTTAGGATTCATTTCGGATTCATTTTAGTAGAGTTCAGTTCCGAAAACACCCACTCAAAAGATTATAAATTTTTTTTCCACAAAATAAGCAGTATACCGAGTATAATACTAGTTGTTGTATGACGCTAAGAGAGCTGTGAAGAAGAAGAAGTGAAACACTTTACTCCATCTAGGAGTAGTGTTTCACTTCAGTAGTACAAGCGTAGTATGATTTTCTGTAAGTTCATCATCAACAGCCTATTTAATAGTCCATAGCTGGACATAGGCGGTTCCTTAGAGAGGAGGTTTTTCGTATTCTATACCATGTTGGCCGTTGGTATAGGGCTTCTTTAAAAATTTTCCTTCTCTTTGCAGTGCTGTTTTCCTACGTAGTTTGCTCCCTTAGTCAGCTCTTACGGACACCCACGGGATGAATATGCATCCCGTGGGTGTCGCTCGTTGATACTCTGTATTCTTAAACAGTCACACATACATACAGAAAATCATTCCAGTTTCATTTATATTCATTGCCTGTGTATTTTGTTCTATGACCCAAACGTAACTCATGACTTCAACAAACTCATATATTTTAAAAATCGTAAACAATATTCTGAGGTCAATGTGGGACTTAGTGATAATAAAATCAACACTAGCTTTGTGATAGGGATCCACGTCACGATCAGCAATCTACATTACGAACGTATTATTTATAACGACTGCAGTCAACAAGTATTAAGGCAAGTTGACGTAGCTCACCGATAGTACCGTAGATGTAGTGTCCGAACCGAATAATAGAATATTGTAAACCCTAGTAAGAAAAAAACCTGCAACTCTTGGCCACTTCCTCAACATTAGGCATCCACACCTTTGGTGTTCACATTTTTTCCACCTACTTTTTACCCTTCTTATTTCTAAAATAATATATTCTACGTTTTAGTTAAATGTAATAGTGTAATATTCCTTTCTTAATTTTCAGTACACTTCTGACATGACTCTAACAACATTACTTTTATTTCGAAAACTCATTTCATAATTAACTAGCTTTTGACCGCGGCGCCGCCCGCTATATGTCTGTTCTCGCGGTAAAAAGTAGTCTTAGCACTCAGGGATAATATACCTTTCCATTAGTAAAAATACCGGAAATTACCCCGAACATACAAAATCACAAATTTTACCTCGTTATAGGTAATATTAGTATAGATTTTGATTAGCACTGGATTAGATTTTTACTTATTCTACAAAGAACTTAAAAAATATCATAATTACCTACTTTGTTTTAATTAGAATAATGATTAACATTAGAACTGGTATAGTTGCAATTTATCTCTGGCATACGAAGGCATTTGAGAGTTCCTTGTGTTTTTATTTCAAAAATGGGCGCGACGCTTGTGAAATTTCTCGAACGAGCTGAACGAGAAGTAAGAGAAGAAAACAATGAAAGAAAGCGTGGGTCTCTTTGAAGAATGTTGTGAACAAGTTATTGTTTTCATGTTTTTGCAGACCTGACCAGACCAGACCATATTTTTGTTGATAAATGTAAAAAAGTTTTTTGTGAAAAGTTTTAAAAGACATCTTTGTACACTTTGCAGGTACTTATATTTTTGTAAAACTCTTTTGAACCTGTTCCTGTAGGCGGAATGATGAAATTAGTGAATAACATGTTCTTAAAGATGAAACACGCTTATAACCTCAGTAAAGTTAGTTTAGTTTCTGGTCAAACAATTTTGTAACCCACATTATGCCTAGTTTACATGCGTGCCGTGGCTTGGCAAACTGCCATAAGCTCCAAGTCTTTACAAACGCTTGGATGCCATTTACACGCTTGCGAGTGTGTTATAGTGTTCCGGACACGCAAAAATAGCAAAAGGGGACATTTTTTTTATTAAACGATTACAGTTTAATAAAAAAATGATATATATGTATGTTAAAGTAAACTAAAAAAAAAACTCTAGCCCTACTGCTCAATCAGTAAAGCATGGAGACTTAATGTTGATTATCGACTGCTTTACTAACGCTTATAATATCAAATTGAGCAGTAGGAAACAAGCACGCGCCAACGTGTAAATACGTCGCAAACGCTTGCCACGAGCTTCCATCTGTGTTCAAAAACCGACACTAGTACCGATCGATAACAAGCATACGCGAGCCGAGCCAAACACCCCGTTTACACGCTTGTGTTTGCATATAAACAGCCTATTAGGTATTATCTACGTGTTACTAATATTATAATATATATAATATATATACTACTAATATTATAAAGGCGAAAGTTTGTGTGTGTGTCTCTATATGTGTGTCTATAGCTCAAACGGCTGCACTAATTTTGATAAAATTTGGTATGGAGGTGCTGACACACGCGGGGCGCAGCTAGTATTATAAACTATTAGCGTATTTATTATCAATGCCCTTGTTAATTAATTATTATTAATTAATAAGGGCCCTATTAATTATTAGAGCATAAGTGAACTCGTTCGGTTAGCAGCAGTTCGGTCCTGTCAGCTGTAAAGGGTTCAAAGTTCGTATTTGCCTATGAACCTATTTGCCTATAAAATAAAGGACCTTTCGTGTATTTATAGCGCAGGACCCAATAATTTTCGTTTGTAACAGAATATTTTACTATACACAAATTATAATATAATAAAATATAAAACATTGATAATAATTATAACCAACACAAATTGTTGAATTGACTGTTTCAAGCTGGCCACAAACGGGATGAGGGCAGTGAAACATGGTCGGGAACATGCGCGGGATGTGAAACATGATCTGGGCAGTATTTCTTTGACTATATTTACATCAACGAAATTTCTGGATGCTAATTTTAATTAAACTACACTCCGTACTAAGGTACGGTTAATAAATACTTTATAACATATACATACACGTTAAAATATTGCATGAAAATCATTTTTTAGGGTTAAAGCAATGTATTTTAGGTAAATTTTTTTTTTTACATTGGTTACGTTTATACGTTATTTTTACATTGGTAATTTTACTACTTTTAAGGTATCGGTATCCAGCAACATCATTCAAACGTAAGAGAATTGGTTCTCAACCCGACAACATAAAACGTTCCATTATTCTGAGGCAGAAAATTTTAATAATTTTCGACACAGAATTATGGTCTGAATACACTATTTCAGTATTCGTTATGATGTCCCTTACACCCTGTTGAGTTAAGCTGAACTGATTTATATTTAATTAACAATCTATAATGGTATGGCTAGATGGTGTAAGTAGAACCTAACGGTATGGTGACGGAAAATGCACTGCTTTAATGTAATGGTGAAATAATGTTAATCGAGGTATATTGCTGACCGCTCAAAACCGTGGATCATACACCACTAAATTTACCTAATATTTAGTAATAGCTATGACTAAGTTGACGTCCCAGACCTGATATTCATCCAAGAGTTAGAGAATATTTCTTACATCCCTTTACTTAATCCTTTTCCTTAGCAAATTTAACTCCTAACTTTGTCCCGTGTGATAGCAATGACATTCCCAAGCACCGTAAGCGATAGGCGGGCGGGCGGTGATTAAGGAAACCAAACAAAATCAATCACGTGGAGTATTAAAAGCCAAGTTAGAAGAAAGCTATAAAGTTGGGAATGTTTTGCGTGTACTATAAAATCGAGCAAAATTCTTGTTCTTATTATATCGCGGTTGTTTTTTTCCCTTTGCTCATCCCACGGGAACACTACATTTTTTTCTATATAAAAGTAGCCTATGTGCTATTCCAGACTTTAATCTATTTCTGTGCCCAATTTTATCCAGATTCGTTTTTGCGTGAAAGAGTAACAAATATCCATACAATCGTTCGCCTTTATAATGTTAAGTAAGATAATATACTTACAGGTAGTTGTTGAAAGTCACCCAGTGGCGGTCCCGTATCGATGTGCTTTTCATTCCGAGGTGTGGGAATTTGAGGTACGAGCGCCTCATGAAGATTAGACGCTATAATTCGGTTCAGAAGCTGACCTGTAACAATATTATAAACATTCATGTTGTGCTGATCAAATTGCAGATAATCTTTTTCATAAAATTGGTCTCCTTAAAAAATACTGCGTGAAAGGATATGGTTAGAAAGAGAGTAAGCACCGATGTCTGTATACCGAGTGATAGAGGAGGATGGAAGAAGAAAACTCATAGCGCAGACTGGAAATAACTTTAGGAAAAGCCGAAGAAGATGACGATGGTCTTCTTTAAACAATGCCGTAAAAATTAAAATTAAATTAAAAAAAAAAACATTTCTGTATATTTGTATATAGTATACTATTGGTGAGTGTAGCAATGTATACATATTAACAAGCTTGTTGTTCGTCCAAAATTAAATATTAAATTAAAAGGACTAGAGGTAAGCTATAACGGAACGTTAAAGTTATTTTTCAACAATTGTCATGTTGAAATGACAAACAATGTTGTTATTTTTATATTTTTAACATTTATATTACTAGAATAATATTATACTATTACCATAAACCAAAAGGCTGTGGTGATTTAATTTAAACAAGTATTGTGTGTAAAATGTGAATTTCAGTGAATTTAATATCAATTAAGGTAAATTAAATCAAATTAATTATGTATGACAAGTAATTCTTTCATAAGTAAATCTTTCGTACTTATTCAGAAACAAATCATCGTACAACACAGTCATTTCCACCAAAATACCCTAGAAATCACCGCTGAATAGTTTCAGCTTGTCTCGCGTAAACAAACATCACATGTGTCAAAACCTATACCTGAGTAAAGATTTCGACAAAAACATCGTTCTAAAAGAACTATCCCTCACTTGAGAATGGATCGGTGAATTTCGTTTTAAGTGAGGTTCAATAATACAATCTCTACTTAAAATTAGTTTAAAGACAAGATTCACGACTGAGACACCTTTTAAAATACGGGCCATAGACAACTTCTAGATCAACTCATACCGTAGTTATCAAGCAGTAATTTTACCTTACTGGCGTAGTTAATGCAACTGAGTAAACGATTATAGAACTTACGTTTTCAATGCACCAACGTAAAATAACGCTTCCTGATATATTGTGTTCGTCCACCTCGTGATATCATGCAATGTTGGCTTATTAATAATCTTAAAAGTGGTGTAATCATAATAAACATCACTTAGCTCTGTCTTGATTTCTTAAATACCTTGTTTTTATGACGACATTAACCATAACCTTAGCCTTGTCATCTAAAAAAGTGTCGTCTATTATAATACCGCTTTACTTTACTAATGCAATAAACTGAATTACGAACTTGGCCATGGTCTATCAATAACAAAGCACTATGATTACAAAACGAACATAGAAAAACAGATCGTTCTCCTTATCTGCTTATAGGTAGGAAATTCTTTGATGACCTAAAAAACCATGTGCTTATTACGAATCGCATCATCTACCGTAAACAATACATGCATTCAGTTACACCCAGTTTATATTCTAATGTCGACTTTAATAATCCAAGTTCCTGGTCTTACACCATTAAAAAAATAACAAACTAAGGCGAGGAACCCTCATTTTTCAAACGGCATTGGGTGCAAAAAAAATGCGTAATGTAACAATAGCCATTGTTAAAAATAAATAAGCCATTATACGCGGTTTCTGCCCATTTCTGGGACCTATTAGGTCTTTGTGGCGCCTGTGTACCGTACACCACTTATACCTATGGAAGTTTTTAACTAACTTCCATAGGTTAAAACCTTTTTAAACTTTTAAACTGAAACCTTTTTTTCTAACTAGACAGAGGTATTTAACATCAAGGCTTTCTCGCCTTTAATGCCTTATTTATCTCTGAACTAGAGGACTGCTGGTTTCATCGGACAAGACACTGAAATGCTACTCGACCTGGAAATCTGACTCGGTACCGTCGACGGGCCATGGTATATACAATACACACTTGAAGCAGTAGAAATAGTGTTAATTAGGTTCTAATGGTATTGCGTAATCAACTGTTTGAATTGTGAGCTATGTGTTAAAACAGCACTTACAACTGTTTGAAGTAAAGAATATGGGAGAAAGATTCACCTATATTCGTGCACTCTTTCGAATACAGTTTTAACCTTCGGCCCTTCTGTTAAGTTTATTTGTATATTACGTTTTCACAACTTGACTACATAACCACTCATCAAGAATGTTGCATGCATATTGACAAAGTAAAAGCGGCATTAATAGAACGGTATTAATGCTACTTAGTCTTATAAATAGAACCATTTCTGACAAATATTTAGTTTTAACCTAATGTTTTCTAGAGCAGATGGATCACCTGATGGAAAGCGAAGACCTACCGCCCATGAGCGCCTGCAACTCTAGGAGTCGCAAGCGCGTTGTCGGCCTTTGAAAAAGGAGTACACTCTACCACATGTTGATTCTCAGTCTTTTGAAAATTAGTTTAGGCGCATAAAACTTTGCATAAATACTTATAGACACACGGATTGTTTTAGGTTTTGGAATATTTACTGACTAAGCACATAACTTAATTTTTAAGACGATTTACCTAATACAATACCTTCCTACAACCTACACGTTCAGGTTTTAGTTACATAGTACTTAGGAGGTATAATAAATCTATGTACCAATATCCTATGTACACAACATATATTTGAGTCCTCTTATCATAAGCCTACATAATGTTTACGTAAGCTATATGGCTTCATAACCTCATCAATTACACGGATCTTATCTCTAATTTTATATCCATAAAAATAACATCAATGAAAAAGTATATAGCCACAATTTTTTTTTTTATTGTTGGCAATTAAAAATATAGATTCTGTTTTATGGAGCAAGCGATTTACCAAATCTTTATATTAATACGCAAATAAAATTATCCCTTTGTAAACAAATGCAGTGCACGAAAATAATACCATATTTGTAATGCTTAATATGTATATAGAAAACAAGTTATAATTTTAAAATAAAAGATGACAGCAAAAATACAATTTAAAAGTAATGCACTAAAAAGACCAAAACAGCACGAGATCCGACACAAACATAACCCATTTTTTTTTTACGCTATCAAACGACCGATTATTATTATTATTATTATTCCTAATTCAATTTAAATATATATTTTTGTAATGTCCATTTAAATTTCTTGATTTTGATATCCTACTTGATAGGTTTGGTTGATATCTTTTCACTAATCTATTTCTATTTTACGCCAAAAATCCGTCATTTTATTTTTATATCAAAAACCATTTAAGAACACTTGGGTTTTTTAAACGGATAATACAATACCTTACCTGTCGAAATCCATCCAACCATTTAGAAGATACGAGATAATAAAGAAATTTAGAAACAAACATTGGCAGTCCTTGGCAGATGGGTAATAAGAACAGAAACTTAATTTTTAGGGTTCCGTACCTCAAAAGGAAAAAAAACAAAACCCTTATAGGATCACTTTGTTGCCCAACTGTCTATCAAGACCTTTTATCTCGGCAATGCAAGGTATCGAGGTGAAATTAAAGCCAAACACTACTCTACAGTCCCTTGAAGCTGTGAAAAAATCAAACTTATAAGTTAACGTGAAAAAAAGATACGGCCGTTTCGCCCTCAAAAAATGCATATTTCGACAATTTCAAGGGAATCAAAATTAATGGGATACTTCCCGTTGACCTACACATAAGAAATTTGGCAAGTAACATTGTCTTATGCTACAAGTACAGGGCAAAATCTGAAAACCATACATTTGTTAGGATAATAAATAGTCATAAACATAATATAGTCTTTATTTAAAGCACACAATTAATCATCGAAGTACAACTTCACTTTTAAAACACAATAAGTTATTATAGGTTTTGGAAAATGAATTTCGAGAAAAGCTCAGAAAAAACTGCGAGACTCGATTCCTAAACTATTAGTATGTACCTATAAGTTGTACGGAACCCTCAATGAGCAAGTCCGCAACGCACTTATTCGTTTTTTTTTACAATATGTTCTATTAAGTTAAAAATTATGTAAAAACCGACATATAAAGCTATAGGGGCCCAGAATGTATATATTTTGATCTGTTATACTACTATACTCTATAATCTCTACAATAACACTTCAAGGTATACGAGTCAATGCAATAAAACAATACGTCGTTAGTTAATACGCCATATTTTATATATATTTTTTCAATGAATTATTGAAACATCTTATTTTCTTTCAAGCATTTCAATTATTTGGTAAGGGTACTGTTTTCCTTATTGCATGTTTTATAAAAGATCCAGTCTTTCGGAAATAATTCAATTTTACTTTCAGTGCCTACGTATTACCTCATCACATTCCCTGCATGCCTATCCTTTAGAACATACACAAATTTATCACATTGTTTATATAGCCTTTCAGTACGCACACTACGAGGGAGCCTTATCACAAACATATTTATAGAAAAACACGTGACTGCCATTAATGTACGCCCAGACTTGCCGAAATTCTCAACATCATGTTAAAAGCATTTTTAAATATTCCCAAAAATGATTGATAAATTTATCCTTTCAAAAGTAAATTCAAATTTCTGTCTCCTAAACCAATTCAGAATCGATGCCCTAAACCTAGTAATTATAAAAGTCATTAATCTTGCACAATTAAGTAAAATTGTTTGATACGCTTATATATATGATAAAAGGCACACAATATTTAGATTAATAAAAAATATATTATAAGAATTAGGATAAAACTGGAACTGCTCAAACATGATATTTCCCGTCGAACATGTAATAAGCAGATGGGGCTAGACACTTACTTTCAGGTACATAATTCGGATCTAGAAAGTTAGGGAAACTTACGTTTAATAGTAATAAATAAAAGTACATACCTTTTTCAACAACCGGCTGCGATTTATTATAAAACAAAGACGAATAAGAAAAATTGTTTCTCATGTTCTTCGCTACGTTAGGAGGCTGCTTTCCGCGGAGTAGTACTGCGTCGAGCTCTGTGTAGTACGGGAGCAATTTGTGATTGAATTCCAACCTCAAAATCCTAGTTAACAAAAAAGTCTGATAATAGTCATATGAAATATTAAATGGATTACTTCGATTATTTTCGTAAACTAATGTTTAACTCACAAAAGTTGAATAGTAGGCAAACATACAAAAACGCTTACGAAACTGCGGGACACAGTTTATTAACGGTCTCCCGCAGTTTCGTAAGCGTTTTTCCGCACTACATACACGTGAGGTACGGTCATAACACGTTACAAGCTGTTGCTTACTATGTTCGTACCATATGTTTGCTATTATTAGTTCACCTATTACAATGTATGTTTAATTCTAATGTATACACTATGACAGAATAGGTTCAATAGAAAATGTAATAATAGTAACAAAACCCACCTTGTTGGTACATTTAGCTGTCTAATCGGTGGACTGAAGATTCTGGGTGTATCACCAACATATTCAGGTTCACCTTCCCATAGTAAAATCCATGTAGAAGGTCCTCGCGCCCAAATCCGGACCAAGGCCCCAGGGTTGTATGTCTCGAAGATAGACACCTCCAATGGGTAGACCACTTTTTCGAAGGATACTTCTGTCGAAAATGATGTTGTTTGCATAGGGTTTCTTAAAATGGCTATCCCTACATAACATGGTAGCATTAAAATATCTTTCAGCAGGCAGTCTTCACGTGTTTTTCATTTGTTGTTACTCGACTGCATTAGAGGATTAAGATTTCCTTGCGACGATTATGGAACTCTTTAAATAAATAACTACTCCATATTTGAAAATAATTACTTTACCACCACCAGCTAAATTAATTTGAGAATGTTCATGTTATTTAAAACAAAAAAAAACTTTAGATTTATTATAATACACATTTCAAGAAAAGAAAATAACTGTGTGAATATTTAGAAGAATATGAGTTACTTACTTTACATAGAATTTGTCTCACAAACATCTACTTGTTTTAAGTGCTTTTTTAATACTGGAGTGACTAATTAGTCGAGATAAAAATTATTAAAACTGTCATATAGCAAATGGGTTTGGTTTAACACAATAACATAAGAAACAATCTTGTTTAGCAAAGGATAATAATTTAAATGACAACACGTACCTACAAAATCTTGGCTGGTTATTGCATTGGCATTTTGTGGCATATAGTCCTCTTGGGCTGATGGTGCTTCTTCCCACCAAGTTCCATAGGTCCGCTAAAAATAACAATGTGTATAACAAACAAACATTTTTTTTTATGTAAAATGGTTTTAGTTATCAATAATAAATAATACCATATTACAAAATATGTCTCTATCTACCTTCAAAAGCAGGCAAACACTAGTGGAAGAATACTTACGGTATTATAATATTACAACTAGTCATAACACGGTCTAGTGGTAAAGTTGATAATCATGTATTTTTAGTTTTGTTGTTTTTTTTCAATGCTACGAGGGCGGGTCAATAAGTCCGTGACTTTTGGAATAAAACACAGATTTTTTGATAAATAAATCATTTTATTTTTCAACGTAGTCTCCCTTGAGCTCTATACACTTTGTCCAACGCTTCTTCAATTTTTTTATCCCTTCCAAAAAATATGATTTGTCGAGGTCCTCAAAATAGGCCTTTGTTTGCGAGATGACTTCATCATTGGAGTCAAATCTTTTTCCACCAAGCCATTTCTTCAGGTTTGGGAACAAGAAGTAGTCACTCGGAGCCAAATCTGGAGAATAGGGCGGATGAGGGAGCAATTCATAGCCCAATTCATTGATTTTTGCCATGGCAACTGCACATGTGTGCACCCTTGCACTGTCTTGGTGGAAAAGAACTTTTTTCTTGGCCAAATGAGGTCGGTTTTTTTTCAAATCGTCATTGAATCGGTCCAATAAGTTGGCATAATTCGCCATACCTTTATTAGCTGACAATCCCACCTTGGCCTTCTTTGGCGCCGATTCACCCTTAGAAACCCACTGTTTTGACTGTTGTTTGGTCTCTGGTGTGTTGTGATGGATCCATGTTTCGTCCACGGTTACCAAACGGCGCAAAAACTCCTCCATATTGCGATTAAACAACGCCAAACCTTCCTGTGAAGTTGTTACACGATTGCGTTTGTGGTCGACTGTGAGCAATCGCGGCACCCATCTTGCGGAAAGCTTTCTCATGCCCTAGTGATCATTCAAAATTGAAACCACTGAGCCATGCGAGATCCCTACGGCTTCCACAATCTCTTGCACTTTCAATCTTCGGTCGGCAAACACCATCTCGTGAATTTTTTCGATTGTTTCGGGTGAAGAGACCTCAATTGGGCGTCCAGGACGTTCGGCATCTTCAGTGCTTGTACGGCCACAACGAAATTCAGTAAACCACTTTTTTACCATTGAAATCGATGGTGCAGAGTCCCCATAGTATTTATCAAGCTTAGCCTTGGTCTCGGTAGTGGTTTTTTTTTCGCAAAAAATAATGCTTAATAAGCACACGAAATTCACTTTTTTCCATTTTTTCCTCAAATTACTGGGTAGTCTGATAAAGATAGCTGTCAAACACAAACTAACTGACGCAGCAAGTTCAAATTTTGACAGGAGTCAAATGACAGATGCCTGTTGACAGGAGTAGTGGTGCTTTTTCAGTAAAGAGGTCAGAAATTCAAAAAGTCACGGACTTATTGACCCGCCTTCGTATCTACTAGTCACACATATAAGAGGTATTTCTGATCTACATGATCAGGTATTACATACCTTAGTTTTGTCAACCTAGGACTATGATCACTGCAACATGAAACAACTTTCGATCTTCCACCTGTCATAAAAGGTATTTTCAACATTTTAGTATTTTACAACGAATTTATGACAGTTGTGAGATCGAAAGTTGATCAGAACTGAATTGTGACCGAACTTTTATTACGAGAATTGGCCTTCTGCTCTAAAAGTTGGGCTATTATGTGATCACTTAGAGATCCTTAGGTAAATATAATTATATTTCATGGAATGTTGAAGTGGAAAGCACAAATAATATTTTAAAAGCATAAATAGTTGCATCAATTGTATAGCTGGTGCCAGATAAGATAGCAATACATGACCTTAACGCTACTTTCATCCCAATATTTCTAATAATGGCACATGACAAATTGTTCTCATATAATAATAATAATAAATAATAATAAAAATTCTTTATTTAAAACTAAAAACACAGATTACAATATTTAAAATGTGTTTGATAATGACTGCATTAGTGAAACACTGTGGCGCAGTCACTAACGCCCACCTTTGGATCTGATGCAAACGTTCCATTTAAAAACCATCCATTCCAAAACTATTGGTAACTGGTAGATAACTAATATTGTTAGAAATAAAAATATAAAATTATATTACAAACATAACTTGCAATTAAACTCTTTTCTGTAATATTGTTGTTGTCTTGTGATATGTCGTCAACATTAAAGTATGTTTACTTAATCACATCTAAACAATTTCCTTTCATTTTATCATTAAATTTTTATTTACACACATTTAATTATTCAATGAAATATCAAAATATCTTTGAAAATTTGTTTTGGTTTTTAAATAATACATCCCATGTTTTTTTGAACCTGTGTCTGTCTAGAAAACCCTTCACCATGATTCACTAGCGATAATACTATCTGGCATTACGGGAACATTGTAACCATTGATATTATAAATTATGAATATTGTGAGGGTTGTGAATGAACGCTTTTGCCAACTTATCTGGCTACAACTTTAATAATATTTATTACAAAATAAAATTTACATTGTGATTATAGTTTTGCACATTAGTACATTAACCTTAAATGATAAAAAATATAGATATTATAGAATGTTGACACACACGCAATATTTTAAGATGCCTAGTTATGTGTATTTTGCAATGAATTGAATGTTTGATTAAAGGGTCATCATTAAAGGTTATTTTAAATAATGAAACAATTACCCAAGATTAGCCAGCTGATCAGTGTCCTGACTTAGCCCAATGTATTATAGCTACAGGTTGCCAATGAAAGCTAAATATAAAGGATGTACGAGGGGTGATCAATAAGTAATGATAATCGAGTATTTCTAGAACGCACAAAAACCCAATTTATTTTTTTTCTGCTTGCTTATATATCCACTACTTCAGCTTCAAAAAAATGTATAAATAGGACACCATTACCGGGAGATACATTCATTTGAATACGAACTGTCGAAGAGAAAACATCAAAATGGAGAAAAATGAAATAAGAGCTGTTATCAAGTACCTCTGCCTGAAAAAAATGTCTACCAAAGACATACACAGCGACTTAGAGGAAACATTGGGGGAGTCTGCTCCTCCATATTCCACAGTCGCACGCTGGGCAAAGGAATTTAAGCTGGGCAGAACCTCCACTGAAGATGAACATCGCGAGGGACGCCCTTCCACGTCCCTTACTGGAGAAAACGTCAAAAAAGTGGAAGATATCGTATTGGCCGATCGAAGGGTGACCGTAAGGCATGTAGCTGAGGTCACAGGGATCTCCTATGGCAGCGTTCAAAAAATCATTGTCAACAAAATGTATATGAAAAAGGTCTCTGCGCGTTGGGTACCGAGAATGTTAACCGACGAGCAAAAAAAGAAACGAGTCGACATTTCGAGGGTGAATCTTCAAAAGTTCCAGGCCGATAAAGAATTTTTTTTGTCGCGTTTTGTGACCATGGACGAGACCTGGATCCACCACTTTGATCCCGAAACCAAACAACAATCAATGACTTGGAAACGAGGTTCCTCACCAACGCCGAAGAAATTCAAAGTGTCAAGTTCAGCGGGAAAGGTTATGGCGTCTGTTTTCTGGGATGCAGAAGGAATTATTATGGTGGAATATTTGAAAAAGGGGGCCACTATAACAGGCTCTTACTACGCAGGCCAAATAAGAAGATTGCGAGAAGCTATTAAGTAAAAAAGACGCGGTAAACTGCGCGCTGGAGTGCTGTTTCACCAAGACAACGCCCCGGCTCACAAAGCCGCAGTTGCGATGGCTGCCATTGAAGAAACGGGGTTCGAACTGCTTGAACACCCTCCCTATTCGCCAGATCTAGCTCCCAGTGACTTCTACCTCTTTCCTCGGCTCAAAGAACACCTCCGGGGCAACAAATTTGAGGACAATAGTGAAGTGATGGCCGCAGTAGAGGCATTTTGGGAGGGTCAAGACAAAGAATTTTTTTCTAAGGGAATCATGGGCTTAGAAAAAAGATACACTAAATGTATTAACTTGCAAGGAGACTATGTTGAAAAATAAAATACTTTTTTTAATCTAATAGTTCTGTTTCATATTGATTATCATTACTTATTGATCACCCCTAGTAATTAGCTTCTTTTGACTATGAGAATTGAGAACTTAAATCTTGATACTTTCAATTTTTTTTTAAAGTGATATTACATTGTCTTGTCACATAACGCAACTTTTTATTTATATGTTGTTTTTATATTTAATTAACATTTAAAAGTTTAGTCCATTTTAATTTTAAATTTAAGAGTGCAAGTAGCAACAGCTATATTATAAGACTACAAAAAAAAAAACATTCACAACCTACAGTACAGTGACATTTGAAATTTTCAAGGCTTCATAAATTAAAAAAGCTTGTCTGTTATGGTTACTTTTAAAATCAAACAAACTTGGCTTCCCTTCACATATCAAAAATATTAGTTGAAGTGGTTTATTAAGGATTGACCTTCAATTTAATCTGCTTCAGGAAGTTTTTGCTTGGGGTCTTTGCCAAAGGAAGTTGATAAATTTCTATAATACGTCTCAATAATTAAGATACGTATTTTCTAAATGGAAATTGATTCCATCAAAAAGGTATGTACTAATAAATAATGAATGGTTAATACAATCAATAATTATGTTGTGCTGAATTATGTCCTATTCGTCTCAAATTACAAATAGATTTAATAATTTCGTTTCTTTTGCCGCATGGAATACATTTAGCTTTTCTTAAAGGATATATGTGAAAATAGTGCCGCAAAATATTGAATAAAAATACAGAAAGAACAATAGCAATTTATCTACTTTTACCATTACGAACGCCTGGGGATAATCGCCGTAATCGGGAAAATTAGAAGGTGGCCCACGAAGATTGAACGCCGTATAAGAAACACTGATTTCGCTCCCATACTGAGAGCTAAAATCTTCGACATGATGCACAAATTGTTCAATTATTTGCTGCTCTTTTTCATCGTCTACATCACTGTCGTCTTTGAACCAAAACAAGGAAGATATCACATCGGATGCACTCTGCATTTTTTAATTTTTCTTTCTATATTTCGTAATGGAAAATTTACACGAACGAAGACAACGAAGATACGGGCTTGAATGAAATGAGTTTGTTTTTTTTATTGACAGCTGACATTCACAACACAAACATAACAATAGTTCATTCTGCAACCATTTGTTAAAGAAGGGAAGTAACACTTTTGTATTTTATTAAATTATGCTATTAAACATTTATATTAAACGATACATAACATAAATCATAATATGAAATAAGAAAGTGTGCTCTTCATATAATTATTTATGGCCATCGCCGTGTAGTGAATAATGACATACCAGGTAATGATAAATTTTAATTGTAGTTCTAATTTTATTCCTTTCAAATTAGTGCAAGCAGTTACTTTTTTTGCCTTTATTAAACTATTTACACACTCACAAAATCACAGTATCTTATTATTAATAGGACACGGCTTGAATTATTTTGATTAATAACTAGATTTCACATAATTTTTATCAACAATAGTGTTGGTCTTTGTCGTTGTTCATGTTTTTTTTAGCTTTAGGTAGTAATATTTTTATGCTCTCCTTATGCAATTCATAAAATTTATTCATATTCTATATATACCTACATAGACCTATAACAACAACTTTAAATGTAGATTTTATTATTTTTGCAAAACTGTCTTTATTTTTTTTATAAATCTAATATATTCGCAATCGATTTTAGTGCAGAATTTGTCTCAGAGGTCTAACAATAAAGAAACCAAAGATTTCGATTTATGACCACAAGTAGATGTTTAAATGAGACTATATTCTAAAGGTAGAAAACTATGTGATACTAAAAATAAAATAATAATAATGTACAAATACGAATAAATTAATAATATACAAATACCTACCAAAATTAGTAATACCTATAATGTATTAGATATTATTATGTACTTAGCTAGGAAACATTATTCCGAAACAGGTGGTGAAAAGTTACGTGACGTTTAGCTTTTATCGTATTCCTTCTAGATTGTATGAACATTGTGTTTTAGTCGGTTAGATTTAAAAAATCGGCTTAGTGTCAAAGCCGATGTGGTGATGTTCCAGTGGTTATTATATACTTATGAAAATGTATAGGGGTATTGAGTCGGTTATTTTTTGCAGTGTGATCTTGTCTCTCAATTGAAAATTAAGAGGCTTATAATGTTGTCTAACACGTCCATAAATTTATAAACGGAAGAAATTGACATGCCACTTTCTTAAAAAAAAATGTTTTTTGTGTTGTCTACGGTAGTGACAAGCTTCTGTTGACAATAAAATGGCAGCGGGGCCGATTGCCGAAAGAAATCAAGGTATTTAATGACAAGGCTAAATGTGTTTAGATATAGTTAGATAAAATAATTAGACAGCATGCCTGTCTTAAATAGTTATACCTTTAGAAATACTATTTATATATTCGAATTATATTATATTATAATAATTACACTTATATTTAAGGTTATGTGCTCTAATTTAGTTTTGTTATTGCTGTGGTTATTTAGTATTTTTTTAGTAATAGCTCTTATAATCTTAATTATTATTAATAATATTTAACCTGTTCAAATATTAAAGATGCCACAATATACGTTGGAGGACTGGATGACAGGGTTTCGGAAAGCCTATTATGGGAGCTGTTCGTGCAAGCTGGACCCGTAGGTATGTACACAAATCAAATAATCTAATGCTAGTATGGTATTTGGCTTTATTCTTATATCAGATTAGTCATGTTTGGGATAAAAACTCTCTATAGTCTTTAATTTGAATTTGTCCTAGAGAATAAATTATAATAGTATTAGTAACTAACTGTGAATTTAAACAGTGAAACTAACTTTACTCTTCCAATTGTGAGGTAAAAATCCACACTTCAAACATATTTTATGTTCTTGTTTAATATAAACAATGGTAATAAGTTATTCCAATGTATTAAACATATGTTAGTTTGTACTATTGCAAAACTAACTTGTATAAAATATCTATTGTTACATTCCAGTGAATGTTCACATGCCCAAAGACAGAGTAACACAAACTCATCAAGGATATGGATTTGTTGAGTTTATGGGAGAGGAAGATGCGGATTATGCTATAAAAGTAAGTGTATTAATTAAATTTATACTTTAATGTTATTATTATTGTCAATTTTTATGGAGCAATGAGAGAACATCCTAGACGGTTCTTGTAATGGTAATAGCTAGTGTTGGTGTGTAAGACCCATTGATTGTACCTATTGACCGATCTGTTGGTCTAGTGATTAGTGACCCTGACTACTAAGACAGAGGTTGTGGGCTTGATGCCCACCTAGGACAAATATAGTGTGATGAGCATGATCATTTGTTCTGTGTCTTTGTGTAATTTATCTCTAATATGTATGTATTTAGAAATATATAAGTATACTAGTCAGCAGTCTGGTTACCAAGTTATTATTATTGTGTCGATTCTGAATTTATAATTATGTCATGGAATATGAAAGATTATGCTCTCATATGGCGCTACACTGTAAAGTGCCTTCACGGGTAAGCAATGTACAGTGTAGCTGCCCATGAGGAGTTAATAGTTAGCATAGTAACTATTAAGCTAGAAGATATTTGGTGTTTTTGTTTGTTATTACTAAAATTATTGAAAATGCACTATTTTGTTATTTGATAATATTTATTTACCATCCTCAGGTGATGAATATGATAAAGCTGTATGGTAAACCAGTAAGAGTAAATAAAGCATCAGCCCATCAGAAGAATCTTGATGTTGGAGCTAATGTATTCATAGGAAACTTAGATCCTGAAGTTGATGAAAAATTGCTATATGATACTTTCTCAGCTTTTGGTGTCATATTACAAACACCGAAGGTAAGAATAAGTTGTTTTACCTCTTTTAATATTTCTATATATTATATTAATGTAAAGACCGCTAAAGTATGTTCATAAAGAGAAGTAGCAAACCTTGGACATACTAACCACTAATCTGTAGTCCATTCAAAGATTCAGTTTAAAGATCTTGATTTCTCATTTAGACATAGTCACTTACATGAAAACAAAATAAGAAAAAATAAGTTAAATTTACAAAAATCAAGGATTGTTTTAAGGATTTGTCAAGTTAGTCTTGGATTTTCAAATGACAAGTAAAATACCTCAAAAGCCTTGTTACTAAAATTTAAATTAGTAGATTGTTAGAAATAGGAGCAGTAAATTATATAGTGCTAGTTGAATAAATTATGGTTTAAAAAAACTAAAGAAAACACGCTTTTGTACTAGCTGAACTAAAAAGTAGAAAATATTTTTTTAAGGGTAAAAACAAAAATGTAATAAGTGATAAGTTTCCTTGATAGGTGAAAAACAAATTGAAAGATTCCATTTTGTAAATACATACATAACAAGATAATAAAAGCATTTTGAAAAAGCTTGGCTATAGAAACTGATAGCGCTGTTGCCTTTAAAATAGATGTTTTTTTTAAATTAACTAATACATATGCTATCACTGAGTAAACTGGTATACTTTCTCTGAATTACTTTGGAAGAGATGTAAACTTTCATTCCATAACCCACAGACCCACAGCCCAGAACATTACTTGGCAACAGTCTCTCTGATATTGAATTTACATGCTGCCTTAATATTATATTATATTAAGTAGAAATATTCTAAGAACTAGTAAAATTATAACATATTATATACATATATATGTAACTTTTCAGGTTATGAGAGATCCAGAAACTGGTAACTCCAAAGCATTTGCATTCATAAACTTTGCATCGTTCGAGGCGTCAGATGCAGCAATAGAAGCTATGAATAATCAGTACCTCTGTAACAGACCAATATCAGTTTCTTATGCATTTAAGAAGGATGTCAAAGGAGAGAGGCATGGATCTGCTGCAGAAAGGTATAATATAATAAACATTTATTATTTATCGAAAATATGAATAATTTAATGTTTCACAATGCACACTTTTCCAAGGTTTAGTTCATACTCCATACAATAGATCATCAGATGTTGAAATGAATGATAAATGCAAACATAGTAGTGTGAATTTTCAACTTTTAAAAGTCATAGAAAGCCAACTTATTTTACTCAATATTCAATGTATATATAAATCTATCTAACTATCTTTTTAATTATATTAAAATTATAATCTGAATGATTAATGCAAAAATAGTAGTGTGAATTTTCAACTTTTAAAAGTCATAGAAAGCTGACTTATTTTACTCAATATTCTATGTAAATATAAATCTATCTATCTATCTTTTTAATTATATTAATATTATAATCCGTGTGGTGATGGATTAAGAATATAGAGTGTCACCACCCCTGATTATCCCCTGGGTGTCGTAAGAGTCGAGTAAGGGAGCAAAATACGCAGTACGACGGCACTGCAAAGAGAAGGAAAACTTGAAACAAATCCTATACCAATCAGTCTAGCCAGCGTGGTATAGTCGCCAAAACCTCCTTTCTAAGGAGAGGTGTATGTCCAAAAGAGCACTATTAAAGATTAGACATTATGATGATGATCATGACTATATGAGACGGACAAAAGTATTCATTTAATAAGAATAGATGATTCCTTTTAATTATAAAAATAAACCTGTTTACATAAAACTTTGTTATTTCACAGATTACTTGCTGCTCAGAATCCGCTATCCCACGCGGACCGTCCTCACCAGCTGTTCGCAGACGCCCCACCAACAATGATGGGCCCTGTACTAATGGCACCACCACCTCCGCCAACTCCATCACCGATGCCGCCTCAAGGGCCTCCGATGGGCACTCGACCACCACCGCCCTTACCTATGACAGCGCCGCCTCCACCACCGTCTTCAATGCCACCACCTGGCCCGCCACCGCCTCCAGGCCCTCCGCCACCACCACCACCATTCCATCATTTCCCACCCCCACCCTTCGGTCCACCAGGCTTTGGACCTCCACCGCCTCCTGGAGCTCGGCCACCTCCTCCATGGAGGCCGCCGCCTCCGTCCTTCAGACCGCAGTTTCCACCACGTGGACCTCCACCCTTCGGTCATCCACCATTTCCGCCACACCCGCCTGAACCAAATTATAACTATTAAGTGTAATTAAATAGTATAATGTTAACTTTGTTTTATAATTTACCACTGAAATAAAAATAAATATTGTCAAGATTGAATATTCCATATTATACCCTCAAAGAAGTTTTTTTGTTCAATCAGTTGGACAATCAGTTTTTAATTCATACGATACACTACGCTTTTGAAATGAAAGTTAACGTTTGTAAAAAATACAATGAAAAAAGCCAACATCACGTGGTATTCCCAGGCGGTCACCCATCCAAGTACTAACCACGCCCGATGTTGCTTAAATTCGGTGTTCAACATGGTATGGACGTTGGCAATTAAGAAGTAAATTTAAGCTAACATAATATATCTCACATAAAAATTCGTCGTGTTTCTACAATATTTTTTCTGTCTCTCCACTTCGTAATTCTAAAAACGAACGCTAGGTGGCTTCAGCGACACTAGGAATTGTCTTAGCCCCTAGAATGAGTTTAAGTTTAAATTATACGTATCATCATCGATATCTTCACAAGTTTGCTGATAATACTTCAAAAAAGGAGTGTCAGCTAAAACAATTAAGGTTTAAAAATAAATTAATAATAAAATAAAATTAATAAATAAATTTAATTTAACCAAACTTACGTTATAAACCTTTAACGGATTACGATTAATAAAAATAACTACCATATGTTTTCAAAAAATATGTTACGAGGGTATACACTAAATAAAAGTTGACGCTTAATTACATTTATTGCCCTGTATTTACAAACAAGAAAACACTATATAAGTCGTTAGTCTCACTAGAAACTCACTACGATGTTAATTCGCTGTCGTAAAACGATACTGTTCCGTACGGCTAACACGCTACGCTTTTATAGTGCTATCAAAATTACTAGACTAACCCCGAATATCCTATGGAAAGTTGAAGACAGAACCACGTACAACATCTGTAATAAGGCATCTACATATTTCTATAATCTTCCGATATTTGACACTAGATGGCACTGCAAGCAAGTATCGGAATTAAGAACCGTAATCTCAATGCGTAGCGTTGTGCTCCACTTGATACTAGATGGCACTGTCCTCCAGGCAACAACAACCACTCAATCCTATGGCGCAACAATAAGATATTTTTTTAAATATTTGGCTACTTTCTGCCGCTAAGGCAAAACCATAAGACACTTTTTGCACACAAGTAAGTAAAAGAATAATAATTTTAAACATTTGCTTGCCTCCCATTTTCATAATGCTTAATTGTTATTATAATTATTCGTTTCTTTGTTTTTGATCATATACCTCAGTAAAGAATAACATGGTCGTAAAATATTCCTCTTGTAACAAAATAAACCAAATTTAAATTGATTAAGTAACTCGTAATTAGAGTGAATTAGTAATGTATACATATTGTTTAAAACAGATAATTACATTCTGTGCCGATATTAAAAATAAACCTATTAAATATAATATAATCCAATAAGTCGAAATCAGGAAACATGATAGGCACGACACGAATTTCGCTGTGGTCTTTCTGTGATTGCCACAACGCGTAAGCGTTTGCATAAAAACCATACGTAACTAGATTTTTTGTGACATCTTTATTGCTCGTTATAAGAATTAGGAAAATGTCTGGTAGTTTCTCCTACTTGACTTCCACACCGCTGTGCAGTAACCAAAGTTGCCTGCCTACTGTTGACCAGTCAAGAGCCATGTTTTTATGCGGCTGTTTTACTATGACCACAACGCGTCATGAGCAGAATTTTCGATCACTGCTTGTTGTCGGTCTTTCAGCATAACACATTATAAGTAGGTAGGTATATACTTAGGATTAAGTATTGATATCATCTTTAAATATTATTGATTACAAATGTTTTAATTATTGTTTTTAACCGTTTAGTGTGAAAAATGTATTTCATGTCGTCATGATCATCACCAACCTTTCGTAGTACACTGCTGGACATAGGCCTCTCCTTAGAAAGAAGGTCTTAAGTCTTAAGCCTGTAAACCAGGTACACCAAGAACAGAAGTAGTTTGTTAAACATAAATAGTGAACCAACGACCGCTTTTAGTAACGATATCAGGAGTAGTGAAATAATTAGACGATAGGTACATTAAAAATCGATAAAATATTATTTAAACTAAAGAACTCATTGTATGGATAACAAAGTCACAACAAGGTCATTTAATATTACAAAGAAGTGACGTAATATGCGAATTATATGTTCACAATTTACTACATGACAAATGCCAACGTCCATACCATGTTGAATACACCGGTTCTCGTCCGATCACCGAAGTTAAGCAACATCGGGCGTGGTTAGTACTTGGATGGGTGACCGCCTGGGAATACCACGTGATGTTGGTTTTTTATGTTTTTTTGGTAATTATTGAATCATTTTTTTTATTTATTAATAAGTACTACCCCATCATACATATTATACTTATAACTAATTTTGACAGTGGCATTAATCTGATATGTATGACAAATACGGTGTCCATAACAACATTCTTATTAAACTATATTATAGTATTATTTTCTAAACATCTAAAAAAAATGTTATTTTAAGACATTTATGTAGAATGTTTACAACGTATGAGTTAACTCATCTTGAGGACTTGCCTAGCAACTCAATTGGCGGTAAATATATATAAAAAAAATTGAAGGTATATTAAAAAAAAAGATGAAAAATAATGTTTAGACGTAAGAAGTCATTTGTATGGATTTTGATGTCATACGAAAGGTCGTTTATTGTGATAAAAAAAGTGACGTTGGTATACCGCAAATGATATGTTCACAAATTATAAATTGACAAAAGCCAACGTCCATACCATGTTGAATACACCGGTTCTCGTCCGATCACCGAAGTTAAGCAACATCGGGCGGGGTTAGTACTTGGATGGGTGACCGCCTGGGAATACCACGTGATGTTGGCTTTTTACACTTTTGGCCATTGAGTTAAAACAACACTAGAGAAGCAAACCTCATTATCACACGTCGAAAAAAGTGTAACCACTTTTGAACTTTGACGACGTAGCTTTGATACCACTAAACATTTGAAAGTAAACATATTTATGTCTCATTTACACGCGAGACAAGAACAATACCATCGCTCGGATTAGACAAAGACAAAGATATAACTTTACGATGGTGGGCCAGTGTTGACTACCGTATGAAATTTTACCCATAACAACTAAGAAACAATTTTTTTTTAAAACAATTTTGTAATAAAATAAATTAATTTAAATATTCTAAATAATATATTTCGAATTGAATAGAATAGGTATAAATAATAAAATAACTGGAAATATTTGGTTAAAAGGGTTTATATTCAGTGTAAAATCAAACTGCGCTGTGAAGCATCAGTTTTGTATACAATGGTCTTTTAGACTCTTTTTTATAAGTTTGTGTGGATATTTTACTTTCATGATACAATCTTATTTTTACGTATGTAAAAATAATAGCATTTAATAATAAAAGTGAATGATCAACTTGTACTGATAATAAATAATCCCCAGGGTGTATTGCAAATTCTATTATAATTTAAAAAACAAATAAAGAAAAAAAAAAAAAAAATTATTTATATTTTGTATTTTTTTTTATTTATGTTTATTTACTTTTTTATTTTATATTTTTATTTTTTATTTTTATGATAAACATTTATTATTATTATTTTGTACAATTATTATTTAAAATTGATAATAAATTAAGAAAAACAATGAATTCTTTTGTGCAAAAGTCTCCAGCACTGCGAGCTTGGCACTTCTCCCAAGCTCGCAGTGAACGTTCAACGGGTCCCTAAAAAAAAGTGATCGGTCCAGCCCTAACAACTACCGTTCTTCCTATATTTTATTATTATTGGCAAAATGTTTAAAAACAGTATGAAGCATATTATTTCATAAATTATAAATTCTCCCACTAATGTGGGAAAACCAAAATGATTTTTTAATGGTAACACTGATTCTAAATTACAATTATCAGTGTTTTATTTCAATTATAGCCTTATTTACGATATTATCAATACAAAAACCATTAACTTACACGTGAAAAGTAATTCCGCATGATTTATTAATGTTTTGTGACCTTGAATCGCATTCTTTCACTACGCATTTAGCCATTTTGGCGATTGTTACTGTCATGTGTCGCTATGTTCAACTCGGTTGACGCCACATTGAATACTGAATTGACGTTTGCTACGCATATGCCTGTGGACAGATGTGCAGTAGCAACGATTTTAGGCGGTAATTACTCATCTATGTAAGTATTATATCAATGCTTTTGGCATGGTTATTGACTCAACATTTTTATCATACATTATTATGGTGAAAAGAAGTGTTAAACTTCGAAAAAAAATTGAAATTTAATTTTGAGGACATTGCTATGTTTACACAAAGTTATCTTAAAGACTTGCCTATCAATTTATTCGTGTGATGGTCCTAGTTATATGTATATATGACGCTATCAGTATAAATAAACGCTAACTATATTTAGACGTTCGTTTCTGCAGACTATTTAATCTAAGTGATATATTCCAACTAGCTTTTCGAAGCGACGCCGCCCGCGTGTAAGTCGGTTAACACGGTAACAAGTAGCTTATGTCCTTCCTCTAAAATCAAACTATCTCCTTATCAAATTATATCTAAATCGGTTCAGCGGTTGTTATTTCCCGATTTCTGAGTTAAAAACTATCCTATGTCCTTTCCCGGAACTCAAAATATCTTCATCTGAATCGGTTTAGCGGTTTAAGCGTGAAGAGGTAACAGACAGATAGACAGACACACTTTTAGTCAAGTTGAGGTTAAATGAATATCTAAACAATTAATAAAGTGATTCGGAGCTTAAAATCAAACTTATAAGTTAACATATTAATAAACTACAGCAATTCCTACTCCACGCTTTTATTCCATTCTTAATATTATATAAGAAACTTCATCTGCATCATCATATCATCATCAACAGCCCATAATAGTCCACTGCTGGACATAGGCCTCTCCTTAGAAAGTAGGTTTAAGAAACCTATGGCAATCATTATTTTATGACT